ATATTTATTTGCTGCAACTTTTTATAATAAAATCACTCATTTAATTATTGAAATCTCACTAAAATCTCCATAAAAAAATTATTTTGCAGGAAACTCAGTTCCCATCACTAATCCTTAGAATCCGAAGAATAGAAAATGAACATAAATACATGATAATTTATCTTTCAAACAGGCGAAAAGTAACTTCCCTGAAATTATGAATTTTCGAGCATCATCGTATATTAATTAATTAATTAAGTTGTATAGGCTTTTTTTTGTGTGTGAAAAAAAGGGAAAGAAAATGAAGCACATGCTACCACAGCAAAAGCAATATAAATTTATTTTCAAAGGAAAAGTACATATCTTTTGAGAAAGGTCGGGTAAAGGACTTCCCTCAGCCTTTCTGTTTTGGCTCAAGTGATCATGAAAGAAAACATAAACCAGAAAGAGTTTCCTAACACCAAGAAATTGAATTTCCAGCTCAAAGAAAAGCTTTGAATGTCTCTGCATGAAAGGAAAGATGCTTTGCCGCGCCCCACTGGCCCCCAATGAGGCGCTGATTCTTATGCACAGAGAGATGACAGTGAAAGAAAGAAATATTGTTTGTGAATGGAATTTGTTTGTGTCTGTTTGTTTGGAGACCTTGAGAGGGACGAGTGAGTCTGTCACAACTATGGCACTGAAAAACATGGCGTTTTTACTCTTACATTTATATGAGGAGACCATAAGCTCAGAGATGAAAGGACTATCTGATTCCTTTCTCTCTCCCCCTCCCCCTCCCCGTTTTGTGTTGATTTTGTTTTCGAAGTTTTTATAGCCTATAAATATTGGTCAGCTGAACTGTACCCTATATTAATGGCGGGGAAGGGTCACCTTCATTTTCTGACCTAGGCATGCTAACATATCCACATAGTCCAAATAGAAAATCCAAAACTATTAAAAGTTTGAAGGAAAGAGATGTATGATTGTCTCTGAGCTTATTCAATGAAATAGTCTCAGAGGAGGAAACCTAATGAACAACTCACACATCTCTAGCAAATCCTTTCCTTTTCTTCTTAATTTATGGATGAGAGTAACTACTCCACAAAATATTACTCTACCATATGGGAACTTTGATCATAACTAATGAACCAGCAAATTAAATCTAAAACCCATTATCATAATTTCAATTAATTACCAAATTAAAGAACAAATAATTACTTCACACATTGAAGGATATTACAACACCTCACTAATCCACTTGAGATTATAATCGCAATACTCACTTGGTGTCTGATCAATAGATAGAAGAAAGAAGAGAAAATTATAAGAAAGAGAGAGGTGGACAATTCATCTGTTAAATGTTTTAGCTATACCAATTCCATTAATGTGCTCTACTTCATCTTCTGTTATAGCTGATGACATGAAACTCAATACCAAAGAGTTCTCATCTGCTTGTGTTCTTGCATGGAACTTCTGTTTGCAAGCATGGCAAGTAATTTGTAGAATAGTGGAATTGATTTGATTTATTGCATGCTGTTTCAAAGCTTGCGCCTTGTCTAACTCAGCTTGAGCTTTTTGCCTGATTCTCTTGGCATTGGCAAATTCTTGTTCTGCCAATTCAATTTGTCTCTTTGCTTGTTGTCTTGCTTCTTCAGCATGAATCTTCTCTGCCATGGCCATCATTAACTGTTCCCTGATCACTTGCTCTTTAATCCTTGAAGCACCCAATTCTGGTCTAGGAATGCCATTATTGTTCTCTCTTGGAGAGCTTTTGCCATCATGATCTTTGTCTGCGTAGCTGATGTTCGATTCATTTCTGTCACTAACATCACTCGACCCAATTGAGAGCTGCAATTGAGTGGAATGATTATCCTCTCTTTTAGGAGAAACTGAGATCTCAAAGGGATTTCCTGAAGCAGTCGAAAGCTGAAGCTCCAAATTATGGTAGTGTGCAGCACTTTTTGAAGAATCTGATTTATCCACAACATTACTAGTAGTAGTTGGGGTAATAAAGAACATGGCATGATCAGTTGTTCTTGGTATTAGCAAAGGAAGCCAAGGAGCTGTACTAAAATTGGTATCACTGGAAGGGCTTGGACTTGAAGCAGTTCTAGATAAGCATGCAGCTGGTTGTAGTGACCGTGATTCTGATCGGAGATTCCCCATGTTGCAAGCATCTTGGTGCTCAATAAAACTCTCAACTCTACGCACACAGACAAAAAAAAAAACTTTAGCACGTATAAATACACAATAATAATTATGTTACTGAATACAAAATGAAAATGAACCAGATGTCATGCTCGTACGTTGTGGCAAGAAGATACTCAAAATGGTTTTGATCTAAGTGTCCTTATTGATGAAAGGAAGAGATCAAGTCATTAGTGCATTAAACAATAAGAAATAAATAAAGAATAGAAGTGGTCATAGCTTTGAAATGCAATTGACTTGGATGGAAATAATGGAAGGAAATATTAATTAAATAATGGAATAAAACAATGTTTATCACATCTGTAAGCTAATCATTTATTACATAGTTAGAAGAGATCGATTGACAGCCAAAATCCAAAAAAGATAAACAACAAAAAAGTAAAACTGTTTTCGGGGTTTGAGCGGTCGAGAGGAACTCGAAACATACAGCAAGGAAAAAAAAACCACCTTCGACAACTGATCTTTGGGAACCGTGTTCACAACTGTCAGTAATAGTAGCACTGCTTAAGAAATGGATTAATTAAGGTTCCATCAATCAGAAACTACATCAAGTAGAGGAGTACTCTACATGATGTCCCTTTTCTTTTCTTTCATAACAATTAAATTCCCAATTTAAGAACAAAAATATATCGAATATTTTGTATGGTTTTAGAAATTTAATTAAAAAAAACACACACCATGATGATCATATATATATATATATATATATGAGAGAGAGAGAGAGAGAGAGATTTATCAGTTAACCTGGAAAAAACACGGCCGCAATCACAAGAATGTCCACGGGTGCCACAGGTTTTGAGATGAGCTTTGTAATCAGATTGAACAGCATAGCCCTTGGAGCATTTTTCACAAACCCATTGTTTGTGATTGCTATGTTTTCTTCGAAAATGCTTCTTTATCCCGACAAGATCACCAAGCGCGTGACAAGGGTCATGGTGCAAGCAGCTAGGCTCTGGACATACAAATACACGCTTTCGTACAACTGGCGTCTCTCTCTTTAGTAGCTTCCATGGGACTTTATGCCTTCTTCTATGCATCTGTAGGTTTTGGTCTCTCTGAAACCCTTGGTTGCAGATCTCACAAACGTAACGATCGGATTCCAATAGTGTTTTTGGTGATAAAGACACCACCTCTGCATCTGGATCTAGAACACCAAAGAATATATAGATAATTACACAAAATAAGATGATTAATATTTAATACAAAGAAAATATATAGGCTAAGAAAATTCAAGAATATTAGTTACCTGGTGTTCCTGCCGGCCTTCGTTTCCTCTTGTTAATGTTATTTCCATTTTCCAAGCAAGAAAATGGCTCAGAACTACACGGAAGTGATGAAGAGGGAGAGTTATTGGCTAACATGGGTTACTTCTTGTTGATTCTATCTTGTGTACTGTGATTATAAAGACGCAAAGAAACAATCTTTTCTTGCGGCAGGCAAGAGTAGATGATGATGATGATGATGCTTTTCTTTAATTCTCTCTTTCTAGTATGTGGGGTGCTAGAGAGAGAAGAGAGCAGAGATAAGGGAGGGGAGAGAGAGAGAGGGGGGGCTAGATATCTAAGCTTAAGGTATAGAGAGCGTACTGCTGGAGAGCTAGCAAGGAGAAGAAAAAAGCTATATTTTTTCCTTTGGTTTGCTTTGATTTCTTTTCCTTCGGTTACGATCAGCTTTTTTTGTTACATCAGCTTGCTATCAGCTTTTTTCCTTTCATTTCTTCGCTGCAACACTCATCTTCATCAGGTATTGTTTGTAGAGTCTTCTTGATGAACTTCTTTAAAAAGATAACACGAGAGAGAGAGAGAGCCAATCACATTGATCGAAACTTGATCCCACAACCAAAAACAGGGGCCATAAAGGGAGAAAAAAATATCCCCACAAAGAAACAACAAATTAAAGACTCATAATTATTTGGCTTCATGGGCAGTAAAATTTTTGCATGCAAAAAAATACATTGGCTACCGGAGGAGGACTTTTCCCTCCAAATACACGTAAGCTCCCTATTTTTGTTACCATTTTATAGCTTCTCTTCCTCCTCCTCTTCCCAGTGGCTTAATGTGAATAAGGGTGTTGAATAAAATTATACATAGAATTTTTTAAAATATTTTTTATTAATTCTTATGTATGCATGACAAATGAGACCTTGAATACTTGGAGTCTTTTGTTAAGTGAGAATAATCTTCATTTCATAAGCATAATTGATAAATATATTTTATTTATTATTAAAGTTTTTTTTTGCTAAGTGAGGGCTTGAGCCATTGCTCAAATTGCTTATATGCATTTCCTTCTTCTTTTCTAACATAAAGGGAGCTAGTTTAAGAACTAGACGAGTTAAAAAGGTAAATTTTGTGACTCATAAATCTAGGACTTGGCTGGATTTAGGCTACTGAAAATATTTGTTTTTTTATTTATTAAAATAACATTACACAATCATAATATTACATAAAGTTAAAACAAGGTGTATGATTAATTTAGAAGACTTGCATAATGCAGTAACCATCTCCTATATTTATTTGAGTAGGGAAAAATATAATAGGTACTATGTAGAACAATGCATAGTATAACTCTATACAAGAAAAATACAATATTTTCTAAACTACGACACATTCCATAATACACCCTCTCAAGCTAAAGGTGGGTGGTCCACTTGAAGCTTGGATTGTAAATAGAAAAATGTAGTGTGAGGGAGCGGTTTAGTAAGAGCATAAGCTAATTGGTCTTTGGAGGGTATGAAGCGAATCTATATATTTTTTTTTTAGCAACTCTATCATGAACAAAGTAATAATCAACCTCAACATGTTTGTTACATGCATGAAACACCGCATTAGCAGTTAAATAAGTAGCACCCAAATTGTCATACCAAATGGTGGCAATAAAATTAGGAGAGAAGCATAAATCTAAAAGCAAATAACAAAGTCAAAGAACTTCAGCAGTACCATCAGCTAAGGCTTTATATTCTACTTCAGTGGAGAAGCGAGCAATAGTGCGTTGCTTACTAGATTTTCATAAGATGGGAGTGGTGCTAAGAAAGATGATGTAGCCACCAGTAGATTTTTTATCATCAATACTCCTTGCCCAATCCACATCAGTAAAACCATATAGTGATAAGGACGAGCCTCGAGTAAGATGAAGGCTGAAAGAAGACGTTCCTTTTAAATATCATAAAATAGGTTTGACAGCAGCCTAATGGCTCGACACATGCATAAACTGACAGACTTTATTGATACCATAACAGTTGTCTGGTTTAGTAAATGTGAGATATTAAGGAGCCCCGATAATTTGCTGATAACAAGTGAGATCTGAGTATAAACCACTAGGCTAGAGACTAACCTTGGAAATAGAAGTCGGTGTATCAACAGGCTTGCAGGATGACATACCACCCCAACTAAGAATATCAATAGCATATTTGTGTTAACTAAGCATGAGCCCCATGCTGGTGGGAGTGACCTCAATTCTTAAAAAGTAATGAGCATAACCCAGATCCTATAGTTTAAACTCTCAACTCAGCAAACTAATAAGGCAGCGAAGCAGAGTAGAATTATTACTAATTAGTAAACTATCATCTATATAGATAAACAGATAGCAGATATTATGATTCATAGTCAGAACAAATAAGAAGGTATCAACCTTAAAAGCACAAAAGCCAATTGATAAAAGAAAGTCACTCAGTCATATGTACCAAACTCACACAGCTTGTTTTAAACTATAGCGGGACTTATAAAGGCGACAAACATGAGTGGGCAGAGTAGGGTCAACAAAACTTGTGGGTTGTTGCATACCTTTTGAAGGGAACCATTAGTGAAGGCATAATGCGCATAAAGCTAACATATCTGCTAATGGTTAGATACAATAATGGCAAGAACAAGCCAAATAATAGTTGGTTTAACAACATGACTGAAGGTTTTGGAGTAGTAGAAACCTCTTGTTGAGTGAAACCACACTCAACTAAGCGCACCTTGTAGCAATCAATAACACCATCGACCCATCGCTTGATTTTGTAAAAACAACGACAGCCAATAACATTCATGAAAGGTTTAAATGGAACCAAAAACCAAGTGTTATTGGCATGTAAGGCTACAATTTCAAATCTCAAAGCAAACTGTCAGAACAAAAACCAGTTAGCATCTTTGAAATTAAAAAGGCTACAATTTCAAATCTCAAAGCAAAGTGTTATTGGCATGTAAGGTTCATGTTCAATGGAAGATGTTACCCGTGAGTGTGGTTATAGTGGAGAAACAAAACTCGAGTTGGCAGACCTGAGCTTTTGGTGATGCAACATTATATAGTGCTGATGAGAGACTACTGGTGCAATAGACCTCTCTGACGTGGGCTCTTGTGGGAGGGAGTAACAGGAAAGATCAATATAGAGATCTAAAGCTGGCAGAGACAGAATAGGACACTCTGAGGAAGATGAAGGCCTAGATGGTAAGCCATATTGCTCACTAGAAGGCGCAGTATAAGGTGCATTAGAGGGCACAAAAGAAGGCATAACAGACCCAATGGTTATGCTATCTGGAGCTATAAAACTTAAACCTGTAAAATGATCAATAAACATATCAGCAATTGGTGGTAAGGGGACCTGTTTAGATAAGGCTAATGGTGTTTTGTTGTATGAGAAGTGTGTTAAGACAGGAAGATGGGAGGAAATGGATGATTATGACTCAAAGTCAGAGATGATAAAAACATGTGCAGTTTTAAGAAAGGGAAAAAATTGTTCATGAAAACAAACATGATGAAAGATGTACATGATCAGAAGATAAGTCAAGACAATGATAACCTAGATGATATAAGTTATACCCTAGAAACACACACATAGAGTAGAACAAAAGTCTAACTTATAAGCATTATATGGGTGAAGAGAAGGAAAACACAGACATCCAAAAGTGCACAAGAAACTATAATCAGGTGTTTTATAAAATAGATATTCAAATGGAGATTTGTTATGTAAAACCGGTGTCGGTACACGATTAATAACATAAACCACAGTTTCAATTGTATAATTCTAGAATTTTAGAGGTGTTTTACAATGCCCAAGTAATGTAAAACCAGTTTCAATGATATGACGGTGACGATGCTCAACAATACCATTCTGTTCATGCGTGTATGGACATATTATATGATGATGAATACCAATATTTTTGAAGAAGGAATTTAATTTATGATATTCACGACCCTAATCAATTTGAACCGATTTTATTTTGCCAAAGAATTGTCGCTCCACTAAGATTTGAAATTAGTGAAACACATTAAACGCATCGGAATTTACATCAAGTGGATAAAACCAAATAAATTTTGTATGCGCATCCATAAAGATCATAAAATATTAGAAACCATCACAAGATAAAATGGGGGCAAGGCCTCAAACATCACTAAAAAATAGTTTAAGTAGAGCAGATGTTTTGTGACCAGTAAGTCCTAATGAAAGATGTGATAATTTTCTTAATAGACATGCTGGACACTGAAAATTTAAAGGTTGAGAGGTACAATGACCTTTTTATTTAATGCTAAGAGAAGAGGGAGCTGAGGTGACCAAGTCGACGATGTCAAACATCAGTAGAAATGGATAAACTAACAGACAAGAAAGCTTGAGACAAAAACATAGTAGAAGAATTTGAAAGGAAATAGAGGTCATCTTTATTTTAATCAGAATGAGATGCTTAACATAGAAAAAAGAAGAGTGAAATTTAAGAAAGACATAGTTTTCATGATAGAATTGTTGAACAGATAAGAGTCGTTTCTTAATTTGCAGCACATGCAGTATATTAGATAAAGTAAGGACTCAATTAGGGGCACATAAGATATTATTGGTTGTATTAGATATTATAAGCCCTTTGCCATCACCAACATGTAATTGATCATTATCAAGATAGGGTTTTACATGTGTCATACCGGTACATATTAATTTGCACTAGTCTCAGGAAACCAAATTACTAAATTTTTTTCTACTAAAGTGTTATTGAAAGAGAGATTAACTGATGTTTAATTCCCATAGTGCATAAATTGTGAGCAATGTTGTGCGAAATGCCCAAACTTGTTGCAAAGCTGACACTTCAGTTGGTGCCCCTATTGTCCAGCATTGGATCTATTTGGCTGCCAGTATGGACGGTTTTGCTACCAATTTCCACGATGATGCTACTAGTTATACCCGTTGTTGCCTCCTCTGAAACCATTGTCACTATACCGGGCAAAGAAGGGGCACATGATATGCCAATCATTACATCTTCCTCTACCCCGTTAGGAGAAGAACTAGTGCCATTAAATCTAAAAAATGCATGCTAGGCAGCAAAGGTAGAAGGGAGCTGTGTAGGCATTGACAGCAATGGTGCAGCTATAGGACTTAATGAAAGAGAGCTCTGATGTAAAAATTCATGAGTGGATAGGTGGCTATAAAGTTTAGAATACAATATAAGGTTATGTTTTATTGATAAACTTGTAACAAGATCATAAAAGTCACTATGAAGACCCTAAAAAACATATAAATTGATGTTTGTAAGAGAGATGGGGCAATTTACGGCGGCAAGTTCATCAAAGAACCCCTTAGCTTTCTACAGATAGGTGATGACAAAATCATCACCTTGACGAAGATCCTGAAGACAACCATATAATTACATGATTTAGGAGTTTGACGAAGATGCTAGAGTATGTTCTAGTGTGTTACATTCATTTGCAAATATTGGGCAATCTATCACAAGATGGAGCACGTTTATAGATAGAGAGGAGAGAAAGGGGTGCTGAGGATGAGTTGATCTTGCTGTTTTCATACTAAAAAGGCTTGGGAAAAACCAAAGTTATTGGTTATTCCAGTGGCAAAAATATCATTATGTGAAGAAGGATATACCATTGAGCCATCGATATATTAAGAAGAAAACACCTTAACCAATCAGATATGGCTTCATCTGCACGAACCAAAATAGATAATTGGTGTTGGTAAGCTTAAGGTTGATTACCTGTTGTGTGTTAAAAAGTGGGAAGATGATTGTTTTAGTGGTAGAACTATTGCAGTAGTCATGGCTGCATTGTTGGCAGAGACAAGTGAATTAAAAAAAAAAGTATGAAAGGAAAAGTTGTCATTGTTCATGGTTGTGGCAATCATAAAAAGATCCATAATTGATAAATTACTATTGTAGAAATAACTTAAAAGTGTAGAGTTTGCTGGAGAAATAACACTACAAAACTGCAGTTGAGGAAATAAGTTGGAAGAGAAATAACGTTGGAATACTGTAGCGGAGGAAATAGGTTGGAATATTATAGCGAAAGAAAATATCACAAGGAAGGAGCGACAGCTAAGGATGTAACAATGCAATGGCAAAAATTACACTTAAAACCTGCATTAGCAAAGATCGGGCAAGAAAGTAAATACAGGGAAGAATACATTATGCAGAAGAGGTAGCATTGAATCTGTTTTGCAAAGGGGAAGAAAGCCTTGAATATGTTCTAGATGTTTTCAACTCTGATGCTAAGTTAAAACAAGGATTATGATTAATTTAGAAGATTTGCATAATACAGTAGTCATCTCTTATATTTATATGAGTAAAGCCGAATATAATAGTTACAGTGGAGTGCAGTATCACTCTATATAAGAAAAATACAATCTTTTCTAAATTACAACATATTCCATAATACATAAAACCGATGAAATATTTTGTTGTTGTATAAACTCTGATTTAGTAAAAGAAAATTTACTCATAGAATTATGGATGAAAAATTATCATTAGAAAATATAATGTATTTACATATGGAAATAGCGAGCCAATGAAAACAAATCCATCAACATTTATTCTGTTGATAAATTCATCCATGATTATAACATGTTACTAATATAATAAACAGATGGTAAGTGCATCAGTGATCATATATATATTAACAAAGGAGTCAAATTGTCGAAGAATTACATATAACAGTGGCAAATCTTATAATTTTTTTCTAACTCTTTAGAACTTTATACGGGACTTATTCCATCGATCATTATATCACTAACATAAATTCTGTTCGTAATTCCATTAATATTATATTTAATATTTTTTAAAAAGAATTAAAATAAATAATACAAGAAAAAAATTAAACTAAAATGAAAAAATTAAATTTTTATTATTAATTTAAAAAATATTATTGAAAATAATTTATCTAATGGATTAAAGTTGGAGGAGGAAGCAAATGTAGATCTTCCCCGGCACTAGGAGGTTGATGCGGTTAACTATAAATAATAATGAGGGTTGTCAATAGTTGCTTAATGACATTCATTTTATCCCTTAAATTGATTGTTTCAGACCTACGTTAGGTCGTCTCTACACTAAACTAAGTCGTCTGAGCTTGAACTTGTTATCATATAATCACTTGGATGAATGGACATTGTTGGCTTGACTTGATTACGAGGAATCAATGATCGATATACTACAACTCGTCCACATATCCTCGGTCCTAATGGTGGAAATATCATAAAACTAATTTCTATCAAGTTTATCGAGCAATCCAACATCTAACTATAAATTTAGATCAAGTTCTAGATAGGTCGAATGATTGTTGTTGTATCTTCCGGGCAATCAAGTGTCATATTTTTCTTGAAAATAAATTCAACAAATTTAAAAAATAATAATAACTTAAGAGAAAAATTGTAGAAATCTAATTTACCATGAATTTCTAACATCGACTATCCACAAGGCATTGCAACCTTTTTCAACAGTTCTCATTTCGTGTGTAATTTTAATAAAAAGCTCTATCGGTCTTAGTTTGTATCCAAGTCTTTGTAGCTCATAAAAGAAAGGTACTATTAGTTAAATATTTTCATACAATAAAAAATTAAAAATAATCTTAAAAAATAGAATCATACTATTCATTTTGCATGCAAAATAAATAAAATGAATCTATCAGTATGTGTAATGATGGAATCATAAATGTTCTTAGTCCGATTCTTTACACTAGACTACAATTGATGCATAAAATGTTTAGACATCATGTGCTGAATATAAGTATCCCATATAGCCTCTAAGAGTTACAAAGATCTTAAATAACTCATTATTTATTTTATTACAAAATATCTAAGTTATGAAATCAAACTTGATTTCATCTAATGACAAACAAATAGAATTTTTTAAAATCTCAAGCAAACCTTAACATGTACAAATCATACAACAAATTTTTACAAGAAAAAATTATAAAAGAAGTATACTCATAAACAAACTACATAAAAATACCAAAAAATTAAAAAAAAATTATAGTATTATTATTATTGTTATTATTGTTATGATTATTTAAGTAAACTTGGGTCAGATATGTTTGCCAGACCCAAGTAATATTGGTAAAAAATTATTTATAAATGAAGTATAAATAATTTATAAACAGCAAACTATCATAGAAATCTAATTTAACGTTTTATATCTAACAATTTAAATCATATCTTTCATTGAAATAGTTTATTTTTTTATGTTTATGAATTTGTTATTTTTTCAATAGAAATTCTATTTTATGGTTATTACCAATATAGTTTTTGTTCAAAATTATTTCTTAAAAAAACAATATTAAAATAATAATGTTTT